TCAACTCCCAGAGTTCCTCAGCCAGCAAAGCTGGCTGAGGAACTCTGGGAGTTGAAGTCCACAAGTCTTAAAGTTGCCAAGGTTGGAGACCCCTGCCCTTGGCAATCAATATGGCTCCATCTTGTGTACCTTCTGGTGATCTTTGAAAATCTGGTTCATTACCCAAGCTTGCTTCTGGGCCATGTCCAGGTCCCCTTTTATAGTGGGCATAGTGTATAGTTTGGGGGAGTGGTGCAGTGGTCTAGAAGTGGAGTTGTCACCTCACAATCAGGAGGCTGAGAGTTGGATCCTAGTTAGAGGGACATATTTCTCTCTCTGGACATGATGAGAATATATCTGCTTAATACAACTCTGCATTGGTGACAGGAAGGGCATCCGGCCAGTAAACACCCTACTAGCTCCATTCAGTTGCTCAGACTCAACCCCACAACAGAGTATGGGGTCATTAAAAGATGATGATAGTATATAGTTTGGGGCTTTTTTGTGGTCTCTCTCTCCATACACTTGTTGTGTTATGTGCTGTGTGGTGTGTTGGTTTTGGTATATTATTGTGTTTTAATTTTAGGAAGCTACTCAGAACAGTTGTAGATATGGGTAACCTAGAGATCTGACTAGCAGAAAACCATTTTAAGAACTGCAACCCTCAAGTCCACAGGGTGCAGCAACTAGGATCTATGGGATTTGAGAACTGAGAGTAACAGGATACGAAAGGCTCAACTTTAAGCACATAGAAAGCCCTCTTCTAGCTATCATTTCGTAGGCATAAGAAGATATTTGTTCTCAACACTGACATTTCTTACAGAGCAGGGCAACACCACTGTTAATCCAACACATTCCAGAAATGGAATTAATGCAACTTGTTTCTTGTGTTTTAACAAGAAATGATCTGGGCACAATTCCTAAGGCAGCTCATCACAAAAGCAACGCCGGGGCCAAAGAACAGCCGTTTGCCACGACTTGTTGCAATTGCAGGAAGAACCTCCCTCTTCCAAGGCCAGCCCAACTTGGAAGATGATTCCAGCTGTTTCAACTGTTTATCCAAGGAGGGCAAAAGGAAGAGCGTTTTTTGCTCTCCAAATGGGAACGGTGAACATTGACTCTTGTGGCCATCCTTCTCAGTGAGAAGCTTTGCAGGACCCTCTTCTTACAAGGTTGAGGGACAAAGATCCATGGAATTCTCCCTTGAAGGATTCACCACGCCTAAAAGCAACCTCTTCTTTACATTATTAACAACATGCTACCCCAAAGAGAATCAAGTGCCACCTCTATAAGGGCAGGGATAATGCTACACCTGGAAATGCAAATGCAGCTGGGCACCTTCCGGAGTACTTCAGCTCCCAGAATTCCTGAGCCACCATGATCACCATTAAATGACCTGTAGTCCACATTAACAGATTAAAAGAGTTGGAAGGGACCTTGTAGGTCATCTATTCCAACCTCCCACCCAAGCAGGAGACCTTACACTGTTTCTGACAAAGGGCAGTCCAGTCTCTTTTGGAAAGCTTCCAGTGATGAAGCTCTGACAACTTCTGAAGGCAACTTCTGTTCCATTAGTTGACTGTTCTCACTGTCAGAAAATTTCTCCTTCTTTCTAGGTTGAATCTCTCCTTGATCTCCTTCCATCCATTATTCCTTGTCTGGCCTTTGGGGGCTTGACTCTTTCACCTCTGTGGCAGCCCCTCAAATATTGGAAGACTGCTATCATGTCTCCCCTGGTCCTTCTCTTCACTAGACTAGCCATGACCAATTCCTGCAACCGTTCATTGTATATTTTAGCCTCCAGTCCCCTAATCATCCTGGTTGCTCTTCTCTGCACTCTTTCCAGAGTCTCAACATCATTTTTTATAGTGTGGTGACCAAACATTGTGGGAGGGTTTCCAGGCATCTTAAATTTATGCAGCTGAAAGTTCTCCCATGCTTAGTCTTGAGAAACCATGCTGATTTACAGCCTAACTCCCTCCTAGTCACAGTCACCCAATGCAGCTAGTTCTCAACTTACAAGTTCACTTAGAGACCCTTCCAAGTTACAACAGTGCTGAAAAAAGTGACCTATGGCGTTGTTGTTTTTTCAGACTTCTGACCATTGTAGCATCCGCAGTCATGTGATTTACATTCAGATGCTTGACAACTGACTCACATTTATGATGGTTGCAGTGTCCCAGGGTCACATGATCACCATTTGCGACCTTCGGACCAGCAAAGGCAACAGGGAAACCAGAATCACTTAAACGGGTTACTAATTTAACTGCAGTGATTCATTTAACAAGAGTCATCAAACGAGACAAAACTCACATAATGAAGTCCTAACTTAGCAACCTAAATTACAATTACAGCCATAACTTCTCATCTGATGACCATTTGCCAGTATTATCTAAGCAGCAACTACTTCCCGGCAACTCAAGCAAATAAATGGTGACCACACCAGTTTGAAAAATCCAACTACACCCTTTAGCTAGCAAGATCCCAGAGGAATCAATTCAGCTGCAATTAAAACAGCCTCCTCTGACAAGACAAAAAAAAAAGTTGGAAAGACAGGCTTTCTAATCCGATTTTTAGAAGAGTTCCAGGCTATTTAAAAACATGACTGTGAGATTCACACTTGTACCTGCTCTTCTTTGTCTTCAAACTTTATTCAGCCGATGTAATGAATTTCAGTCCAGAAAAACCTCTGCAAAGCCTAATAGGTCCACAGTTTATTCCTCTCAAATGAGTATTTTAAAATTCTGCTGTGTTAAAGAACTTTGCATATTACTGTCTCTAAACGCTAGAAGATTGTTGGCAGAAAGTGCACACAGTTTTAGCCTATCTTGGAAAAGCTAATAGGACCCAGACAGTTGTAAGCTGAATGGGGCACCACCAGGAAATGCTAGATACAGGCGGGCAGGGGGGATGAAAAACAGTGGAAGAAAATAACAGCAAATCATTTCCTATTTGTTGCCAAGAAAACTACAGAGACAAACTGAATACAACTCAAGGGAAACCTGATTATTTGCATGCAAACAGTTGCTGGTGTTTGGAAAGCAATGGAATCCTATTGACTTTTCCTTTTTATACAAGATGCTAACCCTTGAACAGTGCTGAGTAGTTTGAGGCTCAGCTATTGACTGAATGCTTTGTGTCAACAGGCCCATAGTTTTAAGATAGTGAACAGTCATGCAAACCTACCACTACATTTTGTTAATTGAAGTTTAGTGTGCTGTGGGGATATTTTCAGCCTTCCCTTCCTGTGTTCTACCCTATGAAACAGATAAAGATGACCAAATACTACAAGAAAACTTAAGTCATTTAACTCGAGTGCCTAGTTCAGGAAATTTTTATTTTAGGAAAATCAACTTGTGGGGTCCTCTCTGTGCTTGGTTGTTTTCTTGCAGACATCTCATTTCCCAACTAAGTAACATCAGTGCTGGAAAGGAGTGGGATTTGCTCTCTTTCTAAACGTATATGTAAAGACAGCAAACTCCTCTCCCTTCCAGCACTGAGAATGTTACTTAGTTGGGTAATGAAATACCTGCAAGGAAACAACCAAGCACAGAGAGCACTAAGGATCCCACAGTTCAATATTGACTTCTGTTGGTAAAATCCACTCATCTCATACGCTGTCATTCAACAGAGTGAACAGATCAATGTAAGTCAGCCCAGCTGTACTTTTCAAAGCTAAAACAGGAGTCACTTAGTGTTTCTCAGCCTGGATAACTTTTAAGGTGTATGGATTTAACTCCCAGAATTAAGGAGTCTTCACCACATCTTATGTTGCCCCCAAAGGCTGAGAAACACAGACCTAAACACCCATCACCTCAAAAATCAGGCAATCCAAAATAACACAGTCATATTGCTTCAGAAGCAGGTGAATTTGCTTGAACATTTTGCAACTCCAGACAAGGGGGAAAAAGCAGACTTTTAAGACTTAGAATAACCTTTGAAAGCAACAGGCTTTCAAAAGGCAATTGTGTCTCTCCAGCTAGGCAAGAACAGGACATTAAAAGGAAGGGAGCTGGTTCTCTTCCTCCATCTCTTCAAAGAGAGAGGAGGAGAGAAATGGGGGGGGGGACATTTATCAAAACCACAAAACAATCTGGGAGCTGAATTCAGGTTTTTAGGAATAGAGAATGCATTTTGTCACAAACTTTGCTGGCTCATCTGGGGATCCCTCATAATTCATGCTAGGAAATTTGTGGTCCTCAAAACCTAGCTGATCAAGAGAAAGCTCTCCCCCCATAATTTTTTTTTAAAGGAAAGCTTCAATTGTTCATTTCTTCCTATATTGCCAAATTTCTGATGAGGCTAAATTTAACCGCTAAGCAAGGAAGGAAGGAAGGAAGGCAGGCAGGCAGGCAACTCGTGCCCATCTTAGTGTCCATGGGCAAAAGAATAGGGGGGGGGGAGGAAAAAAAATGAAAATAAGATAGGATGCCCAACTGCAAAAGAAAGTCATCTTTTTGGGGGGGAGGGATAGAGTCAGAAGCTCAAGTGGGGGGGGGAGTAGATGAGAAGAGTTTGGAGGGGGGCAAAACTTTTGAAAGTTTTTCAGAACTTCTCTTGTTGAAAGAATGGGGCAGACTGGGGGGGGATTGGGTTAGTTTGGCCTCGTAAACCTCCCCTCCCCCGCCATTCTACTTGGTCTTTCCCCCCCAACAACAACCCTGCCAGGTCGACTCCGCAAAAGGCGCATCGGACCCACCTCTCGACTCCCTTTCCCATCCTCCCCAGCCAGTCCAACCGCCCCCCACGTTTCTCCCCCCCC